TTATAGCTTCTGTATATCTCAAACTGGCAGAATATTCTGTCCTTAAGCTGGTCCAGTCTCCTTTTAAATATCTCCTATAACCGCCTTGAGTTTGCCTACAAAGCAAATAAGTTCACACTGTACTTCTTTAACTAAAAGTGAATCCTCCGTAACTTCAAGTGAATTCAACCTATCACATTCTATTTGGAACCCCACGAGATGATTGTTGTTACGGCCGTCAAACGTCACCGATTGGACCGGGTCTGTCTAATACCCGTCCAGTCCGAATGAACTGACTTCTCCGAAAACAAACAGAAGTACATTTTGAATGAGGACCGAGCAAGGATGAAAGTCCCCGTGGGGTGGGATGGGGCTAAATGTTCATCTGATTCGGTATCGCTTAGCTCTGAACTGCTCTTCCGAGTGAGCTATGTATATCCGGGACCATGGGACTTTTCTCAATGCTATTCTCCACTGAACCTCTCAAATTGAACACTGTGTATCCGCGTGTTTTCTCATTTTACCTTATTGTTCATCGGCTGTTTTTTTCCAATACCTTAAAGAAAGACTTTGAACTAATTCGACATAAAATAACTGTCATTGACTACGTCTCTTCCATCCCGTTGGGGGAGTTGCTAACCAATCTCTGTGGGCTGTTTCCCTCCAAGATTCGTATGCCTGCCGCTCGTCGACTGCACAGATTTAATCTCCTGTCATTGTCATCTGCCCGTCAGGTCTCCATACACCTAATATCTTTACGGTACCTTCTCCAACACGTGTTCTGGTGAACTAAGAACAGCCTTTCCGAGACCTCAGAATGTCATCATGACAACTTATGTGAACCACAATAAATATAAAATTTTCCTAGACTTTTAGTAACTCACTGACATCCTTGAAACAGAATTTCAATGTCCATTGATGTATGGGAAATCTCGGGAGGTGTGAAGTAAACCAGGATCCATGGTCAGTTTTCCCGAGTGATTGCCATCGGCGAAAATCGCAGCCCAGATCTCCAGGTCGTGCATGAACATTACCTGCAATGCAAATCCGTCGACGTTTACGAATTACTTAGGCTATCCGATGCTCGGTCACTTGTGAATAAAACAAACAACGTTCCAATCTCATTAGGATTCGCCAAAACCTCAAAATAAATGGCAAGACCCCTATTTGACCTTCAGATTTATCCCCTTCTTTCGGTTTCATTAAGCGCGTTTGGTTTTCCCTTATCAGCCTGTGTTGTTCAGCTGATTCCACACACGCCGGTTTCGGTTGCAATCATGTGATTTGATGTCACGCGGTGGTCAGTCAGTGTAGAAGCTGGTGCGCACAGCTGGTGTCATTTGGAGTAGAGACGTAACAGTGCAACCCCCCCCCCCGGGGGTAGGGGGTGGCGATGTATCTCGGGGCTCCGGATTCTTCACACGTGCCTACCTGTTTATCCACTCTTTCGACAGACGAACCGCCCGACCGAATAGACGCCCTCACTCCAGAATGCTGCCAACAGACTTAACCGGATACCCGATGGAATCGATTAAACACTCCACCCGGGGGATCGATGCTATGATAAACTGGGACTATGATCAACGCAGTAGGTGTGCACCAGGTGATCATCGTGGCGTGTTGCTCAATAGACCTATTCGTGTCTAACTAGGTGTGTGTGTTTGTCTATCCGTCTATCTGTCTGTCTGTCTGTCTGTCTAACAGAGATTCTACGTCCTTCTCACAGCTAGATATGCCGGTAAGTTGTCTCAACATAGGGCTGACAACACAACCACTCTAAAAAGTACGTCATACGACAAACCCTGGGAGCCGGTTACCCTGTTTCTACGAGTAGACCAATATAAACAGCGGAATACCTAACAGTGAGACATATTACTCAGTGTCTCGCTCCGTGTGCGTTGTCTGACGTGAAATCGCAAACATGGATTCTCGTGCCCTAACCATCAGACAATGTGACATGAAAGATGACATGAAAGATTTCGCTATTAAGACATTTGTCGAAGCGATGGAGAAAGGACGAAGTGAGAAGGATTTCTGTTCCTATTTGAAGAATGCATTTGACAAACACTATGAACCGACATGGCATTGCATTATTGGTAGAGATTTTGCCAGGTAAGGAATCATTCTCTCTTTCATTGTATTTTAAAACGGCAACGTACTAATTACATTATAAAATATCAAGTATTGAGATTAATTGCATGCCCTTAGAGGTAATAGTAGATAGAGCATCATTTCTGGGTCGGTCGATTCACCGATTGCTAGATACTTGGAATTCAAGTGTTTCAAATGAATATCGAAGTAACTAAAATTTCAAAACAAATAGATTAACCTAGCTGAAGGTATACTTGGTCTGACAACCTGACAGCTATCAAGATGTGTTTTATAGTCCTACGGTGTGGCTCCCTCTCGCTCTCGCTCTCTCCGTTTGAGGGGAATTTTCGCGATGAAACTGTGTGTACGTTACTCAACCAAGTCCGTTGCACAGTTCCGTTGTCCATGTAAGGGTTTCTCAATAATGCGCACATTTTTTATCCGTATCAGTACATGTATGGTTGCAAGCTGTTTTTCTCTCATGTATAAACGTTTTTCAACAATATTATTCTGTTTTGCAGCCATGTGACATATGACGAAGAGAATTACATACATTTTCAATATGGAAATTACACCGTGCTGATCTACAGATGCGGCTAGACACGAAAAATGCAATGTCAATTCTCATCCCGATCTATAAGAAACGACTTTTATTTGTATTATCCATGATCTGGGAATTAAAAATATAAACTATTTTTATTGAATAAATTTATGTCTTCCAATAGAAAACGATATTCAACGAGGAAATAGTCATTTTTATAATGATTATTAATGATTGATTCGAATGGATAGTGATGGTGAATACTGATATCTACACTGAGTTGATAAACTAGGTCTTGCTCAACTGCTGGATGATTTGTGTGGCCATTCAAATTAAAACGTTACAGTTCAGGTGCTTCTGAAATTTACTGTTTACATTACAGATATCTTTCAGAGAGATTGAAACATCCTCCTGAGTAACAAGCTTTTATAAGGCACATAATCGTTGTTGTGGATGAAAAAATACCGATCCAAATTATTGGCTAATTGTCATTTCTCGGGTGGAATAGGATGGAATTGGGTTGATTTGTCCAAAAGAGTGGGTCATGGTAGAGGAGTTGGAAGATAACGTACTGCAATAAATCGTTTTGGGCACCAATGATAGCTTGACTGCTGCCGCCACTCTTGTATGTCCCGTTTCTCCAGGTGTCTGCATGTTTGACAATCGATTGATTGATTAGCTGACAGATGTAACACGACACATAAAGTGTTTCACACGTTTATTAGTTCTACGAGTTTGTTCAAAACGTCCCTTGTAATTCGATTGTGAGAAAAACGACAGTCCTGATGAGATTCTGACCAGCGCCAAAATGCCACTCCAATGTTTACATAGAGAACGGTTTACCGACTGAGCTACGAGCGGCACTGGACTTGCATTTTGAAATTCCGGTGTATGTGAGGCTCACATTAATTTGTTTGATGTTGCGCACTAATTGAAAGGTGATCAAGTTAGTCAGCTTAAAAGTTTTCGCTATCAAGGATGATGAAACACAGCGAGTACGCTAAGTCAACGGGTTACAAATTCTATCATGCAGATACAAATTTTGGTTGGTTGGAAATTATAAGCAGAGTGGACACATTCATGTCTTATTATTTGTAGTGAACGTCTCTGTGAGCGTAGAGAATCGAGAGTGGTTTGGATTATCGTATTCGATCCTTCACAGGCACCAAACACTGTTGATGATTTTTGGATGATGGGTTTCAATCCTTAATCCAAGTGGAAACATTTAAATGCCACACAACTGATGACTGACATGAAGGACTGGATGCCGGTTTGGTATTCACCGTCAGCATACACCCAACGTGCACATATGCATAACGGTTCGAATAAATACCTTATCTTTAATGGCATGTAAAATGTCTCGAAAAATGATAAAATAGCTGTCTGTACGCTGACTACAGATATCATCACTTTTGTCAATCGATGAAACGCAAATGCCAGATCATTGTTGAAAGCGAAGTATTCAATTCAACTATTTTCTTGTTCAGTACCAATCGGTCGCAATGAAAAATACCCTGCGCGGATTGTCAACCGACTGCTCTATTGACTGAGCCGGAAATCCAATCGAAGCTTGTTCTACGCACGACCAGTCGCTACCATCACTTTCCGGCGCTGTTGAAAGCATCAGTGCTAATCAATTGTTTTGTGAACAAACTACATGCAATAAGCCTTCTCCTGTTGACTCATTTAATTCCACCATTTTTTTCTGGAAAACCATATTGCTGCTTGTACGCGCGAATGACGTTGCATTTCAGTGTTACTGCTAGCGGTCTACATGTGAAACGCGGCGGATTAGCGCATTCCTAACGTTACACAATACTCCCAGTCACACAATCCAGTCACAGTTCTGATGAGACAGCTGCAGCTTTCCAACTTGTGGGTTGTTCGATTTTTGTCGATAAATAGAATAAAGTTGGACGGCTGAGTGGATTGAAACTAAGTGAATTTAATCACTCCTCTTGTCGATCGATCACAGCCGGATGACTATTTCGATCGATACGCACACTTTGTTGTTTTTGCAAGAAAAGCATCCGATACAAATTCTGCAATTTCATGCTTAGATTGCTCGTTGAATACGCCGTAAATTATTTGCCGAATCATGTCAAGGTTTATGCCCAGATGATTCGCGTTCCTGTGAGGATAAGTCTGTACAACGTCAATTCTGTGGATTGATTACTCGCGTCTTTTTTCTGAATTGAACAGAATTGGTCCACATTACAGCGGTCTAATTATCCCGTTTGATTTACGGTTTCTGACTAACTGATTTCAATGGTCAGTTTATGTCATTCAGAAAACTGCTAAGTGAAATACAGCATTCCTGGAACGTATCCACGTGCCGTAACTGACAAACGATACGATCTGTGCCTGGCATGAAATCTTATTCTTCGAAATGTCAAGCATGATGTGAATTTGACTTTTTGCACAATGCAGACTCTCAAGGATGAATTTAAAATGAACCATAAATGAAGGAAAGACAAGATAGATGGCTGTGCCTCAATCCATCACATGCGTTGTTGTCGTCTGTCGTTCGATTTTAGGAATCAATGAGGTACCAAATTTTATATTTTTTTGTAGCAGGGAACAACGAACCCAATTTCAGTTATGTTTAATTACTTGCTCAAAATATGAGCCCATCCAGTTTGTCAACATGAATAACTATGCGCGTTATACTTTGGACTGAACAAAGTCAACGAAAAAAAACAAGCCTTCGAAATCTGAGGATTTAGGTGTGTGGATTGCTCTGGTTTACAAAACGCCGGAAATAGTTAAAATACAATCATCTTCTGCGCAATGTTAAAACACTAGCATCATATAACAAAATGCATAAGACAGTGTCTGACATTTTCGAGGATGTATTAATGTTATTCTGTTAGTGTTTGAAAGCCATCTGAACCCAAGTGTACGGCAATAAAGCTTCAGAATTGCTGTTGTTTGCTGGAATAAACAACCACGCTGTGGTCGATGAGATTCAGCTGTTTCTGTGACCGCGGATTGGGACTGTATTGCATCTTACCATGAAAATCAAAAAACGATTGATCGATTCGAAATTGCAACGAACAATCAGAAATGGTTCATCTACGACGTTTGCATTTATCTGGTTTCAAAAAGCATTTTGGCAAAAAACGTTTCACTCCTGTCAAGTTTCAAAACGAATGTTAGCAGATACCCGAGATCGAGGATCCAGAACGTTGACTGCCCCCGTGATGTTTATGATGAACAGCACAGTCTCAATACCTCGTGAGTTACGATGGATAGCGCATTTGTTGTTGCGCGCGGGGCTAACTACAATTGATCGAAACAGTTACTGATCACCGTACACCTATCATCAGCGACGCGAATTCATCGAGGTAACTAGGAATTCAACTGGGGGGGCTGATAGATAGATAGATAAATGGATAGATAGATAGACAGATAGGTAGATAGATAAATAGATAGATAGATAGATAGATAGATGGATAGATAGATAGATGGATAGAT